TACTGAACTCCTGGTGCCACCATCACCTTTATCTGCGAATGTCTCTGATGATGGATTCGAGTGAGAATCCGAAACGTCAGGCCAATAATTTTTTTGTTCCAGTGATTACATCCTCGTCTTCTGGACTGCCACCTGGAGCTCGCCTGTCCGCTTCTATCGGCAATGGAATTCTGTTCTTGATTCTCCGTCTACTTATATTTACTTGTAGTCATCGGCGGCCGAACCAAAGCACACTTTTAACAGCTGTCATATGATGATGACGGCGTCAGTCGAAAACTGTCTTCTCTACAATGGAATGACTTCTCCCCAGGAGACACCTGAATTCCTAGACCAATTGCGTCTCTTCTATGACCAGGGCCAACGACAATGGTTGGCAACCGTTTCGCAGGTTAACTATATCCTCACGGTCGTTGCACCTTATCACTGGACGGCCCTCTCCGGATCAATGGACCATGAATGGTGAGGAGTGAGCCCTCAGCCCCTTACACCTAAAACGCCGCGCTGGATTTGTAGTGTTGACTCTTACGCGAGTGCTTTTTTATTTTTTAGTTCTGTGTTTGCCGGGACATCACAGCTACCAAATTTCCACCAATTAGATCCATTCCAGTCGGACTTTCGAGATCGGCGTCGTCGCCGGGCTTGCTTTTTCTCTGTGGATGAGCGGTTTATCCGCAAGTCCCACCGTTCAGGCCTAGGTCTGTTTTTATGGTTTTTGTGTTCACACTCATGATTTCTGGAATTTTGTAGAGAAGTCGTTTCCGTACAGCTAGCTGTGCCTGTCACTGTCGACATGACTGCATTTTGGTTTTTATTCTCTTTTCCAGTCCAACACTTAGGCAGGCATCCACTTCAAGATCTGCTGCTGCCATCCTTTTTTATGCCACCTCTGAGTGAAGATTCCTGCCGCGGCTCTGCTGTTCCACCCTACTCCCGATTTACTCCGTCTTGTCAAAGTCTTTTTGAACCCTCGCCTATCATCGCTCCGGACAGTTGTCTGGGTGTTTGGCCTTGTCGACTTGTCCAAGTCTCAGCGGCCTGCCCTCTGACCGGCGATCTAACGCTGGATGTCTTCTGGCTACATCTTTGTATTAACGTCCCGCCCGACTACCAGGTTACCCACTTAAGCTTTAAAGTACTTTCTACTTTACGATAATGCCTAGTTTCCACGTCGCGGTTAGCGTTTACCGCCGGTGCGGATCTTAGTGTTTGCTGTAATTGTACTCTACTGTAATAATTTTAGTAACCAGTCTATTCTTACTTGAACAGCCTGCTCACAACCGTCGTACTCCTTCCCTCGTCCACGGACTTAACGGTGATAAGTCGCAGTCCGAGTTATTCACCTGCCCGTTGAACGCTATAGCCTGTGTGGAAGAGAGGCGTTTTGAGCTGCGCGACCTAGCAGCTGAGATATTCTTCCACCGTTCGTTCGGAGTTCCCCCACTACTTCTGGCTCTGCGCTCGAAATCTGTGAGTGTGTTCTTTTTTTCCTTGTCGTTTCGAAGTCTAGCAATCTTCCGTCTTGACTCTCTTCCTTCGCTTATTTTTCAGGAGAGAGACCACTTCCTACACACACTGGCTGGAGCATGTCAGCAGGCGCTGTCACTTTCGGGGCATGCGAACACATCCTCCTGCGTCAATTGGTGGAGCCCTTCCCCCGCACCGGTAATTGACGGTCTGTCTAGATCGCGGCACCAGCCACCTCCCATCTCCCTACGCACAATTTGTGACAGTTTAGTGGCTCCCTTCCCCACCCCTGTGGGCAATGCTATGCGCAATCGCCTAATCCAGGCTCAGGTCACCTGGCTACGGGGAGAGATGTGCAATTTTGACTACCTCATGGTCCTTAACACTGTCGCCGGACGCACCTACAATGACCTCACTCAGTATCCCATTTTCCCCTGGATAATCTCGGTGGGTTTTACTGTGCCCTGTCCTGTTCTGTAGCTTGATCCTTTTTGCTTTGAGCTACCCGACCGGTCACTCACCACCACCACGCCTCTCTTATAGGACTTTGACAGTGAAGTACTGGACCTCTCTAAACCCTCATCCTTTCGGCGCCTTAATCGACCGATTTCAGTGCAGACGGAGGCGAGGGCCGAGGCGGTTGCCAGTCACTACGAGGAGTTGCGGACCCAGCAGGAGTCCTTACAAGCGGCTGATGAGAGTCAACGCAACCTCATCTTCCCAATATTTCATTATCCCTCCTACTGTTCTAACGAGGCCATCACGCTCCACTTTCTTTTCCGTTTGGCGCCCTTTGCATTTAGACTTATCCAATTTCAAGGTGGGTCGACGTATCTTCTTAAGACCTAACTTCTCCTTTGGGTTGTGATTGGTTTCTCTTGTGGTGCGTTGCTGCCATCGTTATTCTCGGGAGGTTTTCAAATGGCCATTATTCTGGGATGAGTATAAAACAAGCCAGATGCCGCGTTGGGTGTGGTTGCTACAAACGGTTGCCTCTCCCAAGCAGGTTACACGGTAGATGCGCTGGACCAACATTGGGGCCATATCAGATTCTAGAAGGCGCTATCCGAATGCGCACCCCAGCACTTCACTGTGCGGTAGCCGGCAGACGCCGCACACACTGGGACCTCTTCTGCCGTCAAAACCCTGGTCATTTACTTTGTGGACCAGGAGGTGTGGAGTGGAGCGCCAAGGTGCGGGCTCGACTGTGCCATTCACCTGCACCCCTCCCCCCACCGCCGGTTTTGGCACAAGGCTCAGGTGAAGGAGGAGGAGGAGAGAGTTCGGTACATGCGGCGCAAGTCTTCTATCACTATAAACTAACCCACACGCAAGTCGCCGTGCCTGTTTTACTTTGCTGTGGAGCACACAGTGGACATCGTCGGCAACAACGGTCGAACTGTCGTGCTGCTGGCAGTTTTCCACGGTCCGTCGAATTCCACCGTGATCATCCGCCGCCCGCCTTGTTGGTTTCGCGGGAGCTTTAAATCCCACCCACTTAGGAGTCCCTAAGTTGGATCTAGACGGTGAGCTAGCGAAGCACAAATCCAGACATGCCATGAAGCCGCAAATGCGTGTATGCCTGTCCACAGCATTTTCAGACCGTTTGCTTTTCACTCTAACATTCGTCAAGGTGCCATTTTGCCCTCCATCCCAACTACTTGGCTGTTTTGACAGCGAGGTCGGCCAGTCGATCTCTACTACGCTGGCGGCGTCGCGCTGGCCGCCAAAAAATGAGATGGCTATGCTCTCGCCGTAATACCTATCTAGTAGCTAGTTCTACAACTTTCTATGATCGAATCACCAGATAAGAATTATCGGCAAGGGTGGAAAAATAAGAAGTGAATTGCTAAGTCCTAACAGCGAACCTCTGACAATAAAGCATACATACAGAAATGTCCAGGGCCGGCCTGGGATTGAGCCAATCAGATCATGCCCTTTAACTGTTAGCATGTCGATTAAACTTTTGACTGATCTGAGTAGCTAGACATCTCCAATCCTACGGGTAGTTGGCGCAGTATAAGCACGCGCACGCCGTGTGGACGGATCAGTAATACGGCGTGTGAGCGCCACCTTAGGGTGGCTTGCGAGCAAAGATGACTTACTGAGTGTAGTGTCCATGTGGGCATTTAATATAGTGTTTCAGTCGGCATACCCGTCAACGCCCAAGAAGCAAAGTTGTCTCCAGACCTGTTTTTGACTGGGAAGAGGTTTCCGTCCTGAGTGGTGATCACCAACCTGAATAAGTTAACAGTTACAATGTCTTCGGCCTAAGCCTTTTTTGCCAAACACCCGTCCAAGTCGATGCTGCTTGTCGAAGTTTTTCTAAGCGTATGAAATTATTTTGGAACTCGTTTCGATGCCTCAAATACCGCCCAGATTCACGTATGCCAGGATAGAGTAACAGTACCGGCAAAGACAAGGGAGACTGGAATGACCATTTCTGGTTTGTTAACCGTTATCAACCAGTCATACCCAACCCCGAGGTGTGGAACCTGGGGCTCGGTCCCGCGACCTGTTGGTTAGAAGTCCACGCCTCTAACCACTGAGCCACGAGGCCGTTGCCCTGTCGGTCGCGATTGGGAATATACAATGGTAGAGGGGTGCTCACCGATCGTTTCAAGGGAACTCATTCGTTCCGTTATGCTTTGGGCTCTCACTCCAGCCCAACCAGCAGCCTCACAGCGGCGCGTAATATAGGCCGTAACACGATAGGGTAGAGAGAGCCCGTAAGTGAGTTCCGTCACACAATAGGTGAGCGCCCCATCACCATTGCATGTCAGGTTATTCCTCCGGCCAGTCACGACTGCTTGACTATGCGCAACGAAGGCCGCGAAAACGTTGGTTTTGACCACCGTTGCGTGAGAACTATCATATGGCACCGGTAGTGCTTCAGCATGGAATGCCGTTAAATGCAATGGACAGTGGGATGTCCATTTCCAGCCTATTATCCGTCGTCGACCAACCATACCCAACCGCAGGCTCGATTAACCTGAAATACGGGTCCTGACTCTTTGCACGAATGCCTTGAATTCAATTTTCGGACTCTTTGTCCTGCCGGTTGCGACCAAGATTTTTAATTATTGACCACCCTCCCATGATAATATTTACTGGTTGCAACTTTACTGCTAAGGAAGGCGCTACCTTGAACTAGCACGTTGCATAACCTGATCGGTGAACAGCTCTAGTATGACAGAGAGAGAACACCTCCCAGTCCCCTTGTAAATTGGTTGCCCTTGGTTCCCTTTACGACTTTCCATTGTTGTGTTTTTATTTTTGCCCCCTTCTCTCCTCAACCCCGCGCCCCCCACCGTAGACGGCCATTTCGACTCCCCGGACCGCTCTTTCCACTCAGTGGCCACGGAATGGCAACTAGCCACGAGTTCCGTAGCCTGCGTCAAGGAGTTGGTGCCTGAGTTCTTCATCCGGCCAGATCTCTTTGTCAATTGGGAGAACTTTGAACTGGGTACTCGACAAAATGGCTCCCCAGTTGACTGCGTTGTTCTACCACCGTAAGCCTCTCCCCTACCCCATTACACACCCGTCCCGCGAATGTCCCTTTTACTTTTCGACTGTCATCGCTCAAGCTGTCTTCTTTTCCGCTAGATGGGCGAAAGGCGATCCGCGTCTCTTTACCCTGGTCAATCGAGCCGCCTTTGAGAGCGCCTATGTCACCGCCCACCTGCCCGCGTGGATTGACCTTGTCTTCGGTTACAAGCAGACGGGCCGCAATGCTGAACGCGCTCTCAATCTATACAATCCTTTTGTACGTGTTGGATCTAGCCCTGACGGAGTCTGAATTTGGCAACACGGCTTTATCTTTCGTTTTGCCTATTTACCCTTCAACTTTTTTTCATTCCTGCGGGTTTATTTCAACCCGACAGAGAAAATATACGCTAACTACAGTAGGTAAGCTAACCCATTAAATGTCAACCGAAATTCCAAAATGCGTTTTAGTTTCAAAAAGAATAATTAAATAGGGTTGTAAAAGTAATCATAATGCAACGTAATTGTATAATAATTCAGTTACCTTGGGATGCCGGCTTTCAAACGAATTTCTTTCCGGCTGCCTGCAAAAACTATACTCTGTAAAAAATGACTTCTTAGGTAGCATTCATTTTTCTCATTGATTTTCGATGCGTCTCAAAGTCCAATCATAGTTCATGGGAAACATACATAAAATATTAATTCTTTTACTCCTTTGGTAGCAAATTACGTCTTCTTCCAATTTTATACTCGAAGGAGGGACATTATTCGGTTTTTAAAAAGTTTCTGATTGTGAGATTTTTTATTACCGTGAAATGGCCGTTCATAAAACGTCATGTCTCTGCATTTAACAATGTGGCTTGTAAAGTTAGCAATATGGCACAAATCCACTGCTACATTTTACGAACCCCATATAGTTTCCTCTTAATACCGTAGAAAAATGTATGATTTTCCGTACGCGGAAAGTGTACGGCTTGTAATTTCGAAACTTTGAATGCAAGTGTGACAGCAGGTCGCGTTCAACATTATTCGGGAATTGGAAAAGTCTTTGAAAACCAAATTATACCCCTCCTTCGAGTATAAAATTGAGCAAAGGCGTCATTTTCTACCGAATAAGCAACAGGATGAATATTTATGTATTTTTTCCATTAAAATATACTTGAATTTTTAAGGTCATCGAAAATCAATGAGAAAAGCACATGCTACTTAAGTAGTCGTTTTTGCTGAGTATGGTTTTTGCATGCAGCCGGAAAGAAGTTCGTTCGAAAGCCGGCATCCTGAGGCAACTGAATTATTATAGAATTGCGCTGCACGATGATTACTTTTACAACCTCGCTTAATTAATCTTTTCGAAACGAAGACGCATTTCGGAATTCCGGTTGACATTTCACAAGTTAGCCCACCTACTGTATGTGGTGAACAGTTAAACATTTCCTCACTGGAAGGCCAACAAGGTGCGGCAATTTATTTACATTTTGATCGCTTTCGGAGGTTGGCATGGCCGCAGCCCAACCAAAGTAATTCTCGTTTTTAAAAGTGCATTGAGGCATCTTTAAGGATGTTCGAGGACTTTCCACACATGTTGTTCTGACACGACTCTCAGTTCACAGCTTTGTATCGACACCCTGTAACTGCGTCACACCGTCCCAGCGATGGGATGTTGCTCTTACAATCAGTCCCGGCGGTCTCAATTGACTTTGCCATTTGCAATTCATATTAGTTAGCTAAAGCTCATTCCTTCGGACGACGTTGGCCATGCATTGCCGACGGCCTAGTTTTAACTGTCCACGGACCCTTTCCGTGTTTTTGTGGACTTCAGCTCATCTTCCGCGCAGCACCTTGCCAGAATTTCTGATATTTGTTCTAACTCCGTCGAGTGACATGAGTGCGCCCAGCTTTCGAGCGCGCACGCATGCTACTGTCCAGATGTCAAATTATTAATTCCTTCTCTTCCTGGTTCATTTTCTTAGACTTACTTCGGCGCTATTGATGTGGACGCAATCGAGGACCCTGTCCGTCGGTGCGCTGTACAGTCCATGATACGCAACTACGGACAAGTGCCGAGACAACTCTTTCCCAACCATCCTCATCCTCGAAGGTAGCTGTCTCCCCGATTGCCCACCTTAATTTTTATCTTGCACGAAAGGGGTTTGCACTGAGGAGTGAGATTTTACCCTTGAAGCAATAATCGTTTGTTCATCTAATCCACCTGTGTGCAAAACCCAGTGACCGAGGTGGAATCCGAACCCACGACCAGTAAGGGCAAAGCATCAGTACTGCCACCGTCCTAACCGCTTCAGCTAGGAGATCCCGACGGGGATCCGTGATTTTAATAGCATTTTGGTCAAGTTGCCCTCCCGGCCTACTGCAACCTGTGTGGAATTCACCAGGTGACTTCCAGGTAGATCTGATTTATTATCCTGATGTTTCGGATTCTCACTCGAATCCATCATCAGACACAGTCGCGGATAAGGTTGATGAACGCACAACCGGTGCAGTTGCCATACAACCATATACCTAGTGCAATTAGCAGCAATCCGCATTCAGTGCCGGTGGTTTTACATGCCGTGATGCTCGCTTGTTTATCTGCATCAGCGTCTTTAAATGCCGCAATTTCCTAACTGGTGCTGATCATTTGTGTGATAATGACTCGGACATTTGGTCCGAGGACGGGGAGGAAGAAAACAGTCAGCTGGCCATTCTTAGTGTCGTTGTCTGTCGCAAATATTGCGCTGACCTAAAAACTAGGGTTTGGAGGGAGATAAGCACGACGCAGGTACTGAAATTTATCAGCAGTTACCCAATCAACCACAAATGCAGTTGCGCAAGGGCGCTATATTGACGGATTGAGGCGCCCTACAGTGAAACACATTGCCTTCTATGGCCGCGCTGCTTTTTTTCTGACGGTTCATACAACAGACTGGGTGGGCCACTTGATAACCCTCTGAAAGACTTTGGTGGCTTCAAGTTAAACCGGATCTCTTCGGGACTGTCCCTACACTTCGGACAATCCCTATGTCAGGCATGGGACTTGAACTTATTCTAGAATGGCGGAGTGTTTCCGAGAAAGCAAAAGGGGACCTGAGTGTCGTATGGCTGTCCCCACCCACCTGTAATAGTCTTTCAGACCACCTGTAATACGACGTAGGCGGTATAAGTTGTATTGGCTGCGCCATAAGGATTGTGGGCGTTTGCTGTGCCAGGATCAGCAAACTATGGCGGTGTTCGCTGGCAATTTTTTGGCATCTAACTCCCTGCCGGTAAGTGCGTTTGCGCTCTGATGGGTATACAGGTCGTGTGCATGGTTGCTCAGTCTTTCTGACCCGCTGTGGTGTTGTTGGTCAAGTGTTTTTTTGTGGACCAGGGGGTGTGAAGTGGAGCAGCAAAGTGCCGGTCCGGTCATGCTTGCCACCTGCGGCCTCCCTCGTCTGCGGTCTTCTTGACTCTGTCTTGACAGTGGGCCAGGTGAGGAGAGGATGTAGTGCGGTAGATGCTGCGTAAGTCTCCCTCACTTTAAATTAGTTCACGCGCAGATCACTGCGCCTGCTTCATCTTGCCGTGGAACATACGGTGGACATCGTTGGTTGCCACAGTCGAACTGTGGGGTGTGCTTAAGTGCGCAAAAACGCAGAAGTCGGTTCTTGCCCTTAGCCGTTAACTCTGCGGCATATAAGGCCAACGCAGTGTAATGCATATTTGTGCATTTGTTCCCATGTCAATCGTAGTTTACGTTATAGCAGAAGCACGACCACCGCGGCCATGTTTAACGTTTTACTCATACCAGCGGCTTCACGTGGTATAGGCGTTTACAGAAACGTCAGCATGCTACTTGCGTGGAAGCAGCTACATGCGAGTCCAACCCGCCGGAGTTTGGACCCGGTTCACTGGCCAACTTAACCCCACTTGTGCGCCTACCTGTAGGCTGAAGCTGGAATTGTGCAATGTGAAAATGACGCTCACGGTGCTGTCCTAACTGAAAGACGGAATCTGGAGGACTCCGTCTTGTCCCGTTCTGCGAATTAAGACGGATCGCTGACCGCCGATCCAGGGTGGTCTAGAACTTCGTCAGAAATCCTCGTGTGCGTTGATTCCAAGTGTGTAGGCAACCACTTTTCGCGCCTGGACAGAGGGTTGGTTGTGGTAATTTGAATTGAGCATTCCCAATGTCTGCCAGTAGAAGCGAAGAGATGAATCCCAGGAAGTAGTCTTGAAGAAGGAGACACGATCGCTGGGAGAAGAGCTTTATTAGCCTGACCTTTCGGATTCCCGCTCGAATCCATCATCAGCGACAACAGTAGAGTACAGCCTCTGCTCTTGTCCCAGCCATCGTGTCTCCTTCAATTCCCAATGTCTGCTGAATATCTGGTACTCCTCATCAGCCATTAGTTTGCCAGCTCAGTGTACAGGTTTGTCTCAATGCTGACACAAGAACTGAGATGTGTGATTAACTAACTTTCTACGACTGCTTAACATCACTAACGGCGTCGGTGTTGCCGATAGTAGCAAATAGGCAACTCCCAGTAAGCAATTCGGAAGAAGATGCGATCGCTGGCATACGAAGTTGATTCGGATTCCCACTCGAACCCATCGTCAAAGACGGCTGCAGATAGAGATACGAGTGACGCAGTATTTATTGGACGCATTTGTCCGGCAATCACACGCACGCAGTAATTAGCAGCCCTTGCGTCCACCGCTGGGGGGTCCTACTGTTTTTTCTGTCAATGCACTAATCGTAACCTCATAAACGCCTCAGAAATTATCGAAATAACTCCGCCTCTTAAACGTTAAGCAATTGTGGTCTAAGCAAAGAGGCGATTTCCGGGAAGTAGTCGCGGAGAATGAGGCACGATTGCTGGGAAAAGTGCTTTATTAGCCTGACGTTTCGGATTCTCACTCGAATCCATCATCAGAGGCGGAGTCAGATAAGGGTAGTGGATTGCCCAGGTATTGCAGTATTTATAGGACATAGTTGCTAGACCGCTATATGTCTATCACAGTTGGCAGCTCCCGAGTGCATCACAGCTCGACTGGCCAGGTGTTGAATTACGCCGTTGTCATGCGGTTGCTATGCGCCTCTGTGCCGGTCAAGATTGTCGGTTCCCACGCTGATCGCACGCCGCCGAGGGGCTGACTACCGGATTGCGTCATCCGTCTGGACTCTTGGGTGATTTGGCTCGCTGACATTGATACCGGGGGACAGTGGTTATCCACACGTTCTCCTCGCGGCTAGCTACTTTGCCTAGGCTAAGTCACAGCACCGAATATGAAGCGGGGAGCTGCCAACAGTGATAGGCATGTAGCGGCCTAGCAACTACATCCTATAAATATTGCAACACCTGATGGATTCGAGTGAGAATCCGAAACGTTAGGCTAATAAAGCACTTGTTCCAGCGATCGTGTCTCCTTGTCCATGAAGCAGTTCTGTTTTTATAATTTGTCCTTTTTATCATTAGACACAGCAGGCTCCTAAAAAATAACAAAATGAATTGGGAACACATGTGCATTGGAAACATGAAAGTTCAGAGGGCTCGCTAGTATCCTAGTTGTCCACCTGATTTTCGTGTAACTGTTTAGGTAATCGCCCCCCCCTCAACCTCAATGCGAAGTCCTTTCACCGAATATCAATGCCTTGCACTATCGCACAGCAGTACATGTCTCGAACTTTTTTTATCACTCCCGAGTCTCGTCTTCTCTGTTCTCCCTACAGGACAGTTGATCCGCTCCATGATCCTCTCACCAGAGAGGTTTCTGTTTCTGGCAAAGCGGCGGAGTTTTTTGGTCTCATTTGGCTAATCCGCCTCTTCCTCTCCTCCCTACTCGCGCCTGCCCCCTTGCCGGCAGAGAAGGGATTGGTCAATTGCGGCAGCTGGGACCCCTCTGTCGCCCTGGTTAACCCTCCCTCTGAGACGGATGAAAGTGAGGAACGGCAGCAAGAAATAAACTGGGGCCTCAACGTCTCCGTGGTTCCCCAGACTGCTGGTGCCCCCCTGGACACTGTTATCGGACTTAATTGGGGGAAGTGGGCCGGCAGCCCTGCGACCGATCCGGTAAACTCCGTGCATCTGTTCTTCGTCCCATGATGCTTATGGTGGTGGTGGTGGTGTTAGTAATAGTAGTTGTAGTAGTGGCAGTAGTATTTGTATTATTATTATTATTATTAGTAGTAGTAGTGGTAGTAGTAGTAGTAGTGGTAGTAGTAGTGGTAGTAGTAGTGGTAGTAGTAGTGGTAGTAGTAGTAGTAGTAGTAGTAGTAGTAGTAGTAGTAGTAGTAGTAGTAGTAGTAGTAGTAGTAGTAGTAGTAGTAGTAGTAGTAGTAGTAGTAGTGGTAGTAGTAGTAGTAGTGGTAGTAGTAGTAGTGGTGGTAGTAGTAGTAGTAGTAGTAGTAGTAGTAGTAGTAGTAGTGGCGGTTCACTGTATATGTGGGTAGTTGTTTTAATGCTTATTTAATATTAAGTGGTGGAGAAGAATGAGGTCCATTTATGTATGAGATTTTTTCCCGTTTGTTTTCAGCTTCGCGTTGTCTGGCTCACGAACCTTCAGGGTGTGCCACTGATGGGAGCAAAAAAGCTGTCTACTCTTGTCGGACGGGCTTTCAATGCGACTGGTGCCCTCTGGTTTACGTCTCTCGGCGACACGCTCACACCTCTGGGACAGCAGCTACCTCATCCTCCGACTAGCAGCGGTATTCGAAGAGAAGACAGCGTCAGCTGTTATTGGATTCCCCTAATCACTAACGCCTTCTCGCACGCATGCCTGGTCCGGATTCCCGAGCAGCCGGTGTCGAGGACGGCCGCCACAGACCGACAAAACATGACCACTCTCCTGGTCAAATTTAGTCTTCGCAGCGACAGTTGCAGTGCGCAATCTAGTGGAATCTGCATTCTTGCACGACCCCTCCATGCTGGAGCCGTGTTCGCGGCATCGACAAACAAATACTGCTGTTGCTGCATACGCCTGCCCTTCGCGTGCGACCAACCACACACCCCCATCTCCTCTTTCCTCGTGTTGCCGGAGGCACCGACAATCTGTCAACCTCCCTCCGAATTTCGCGTTCTTCTGGGCACTGTGGATGGAGGCCTCTACCTTCGGACATTTTTGGCGCCTGAGTTGTTGGCAAAACTTCTCAGAAGACGAGACCAGCGGGCCTCTAGCAACCTCCACTTTTCTTTTCCCTCTTCTTCGTCGTCGTCTTCGGACACGTCTCCCTCCCCGCCACGGCAGAGAAGACGAGAACCGGGCGCGCTAGACCGTCCGTTCCATCCGAAGTCGAAGAAACACGGCGGTGTGAATTGTACCGATTATACATCATCATCATCACCACTCAGCTCACTCACCTGGCGCAGTCTTGTTGGGCACAACGGTGCTCCAGTCTCGTGTCTAGCCGCCTGTCCTGCTCATGGACTGGTTGCGTCTGGCGACACCAGCGGACGAGTAGTCATTTGGGATTTGGCCTCCGGCTGTTTCCTGCACCTGTTGAGTTCCCTGCAATCCTCCTCCCGATCACCCAAAGGATCGGTAGCGTCTCCGCGACTGAGGAAGAGGGACTCGCTTGATGCGACTGTGGAATCTCGTGACACCTCCTCATCCTCGGAGGATGGGGAAGACCCCAGTGCAGAAGCCCAACCCAGTCGATTTATTGAAGTCTGTGGCCTTGCATTCAACCAACTCACGGGCGAGCTGTTGGTCGCCAGGTCCAGCATCTTCGGTCGGAAAGGTTAGCGCTTCATCTTATCCCATTTCTCCGCCTTTTCATGCCGGATACCACTTCAGGGTAAGGTGATACCATACCAACAGCACAGGTACTAGCCAAAAGTCCGTACACGCGTGTTTTGTCGATGTTTTGCCGCTGCATGACGCAGCTGCGAGAGGTTCGGCTCGTCAGTGGGTCCCCCAGCATTCCCCGTGTGTTTTTCTGGTAGATACTCTAATATAAAAATTGTCGCTTTTTAATTTCCTCGGAAATTATCTACAGAAGTTGGAGTAGTTCAGTTTATTCAAGGTCTATAGGCACAGACCGCGGTTACCCGCCGTGGATGATGGACTTTGGCCCAAATATTCATGTATAAAATTCTGGGTCTGAGCCTATAGACCTTGAATAAACTGAACTACTCCAACTTCGTAGATAATTTCTCAGGAAATTAAAAAGCGACATACCACTTCCCACATACCTGTTTGGACTTGTTTAAAATTCCGTGACATTGGCGTTCATTGATTACAGAGTAGGGGCTCAGTTTCGCCCCCAGCCATCAAGGGCAGGGGTCGGATGTGGTTATGTAGCCCCGCCTGAAGTAAGCAAACCCGTCACCTCTAATACGGGACCGGTAATAATAGGGGTTTTTACGGGTGGAGTCGGGGAACCCACAGTCGACGAGGTCAAGTAGTTGTATGCAAAAGAAAAGGTATTGAGAATGCGCAGTTGTACTTTGAATGCTTGGTAAATAGTTGTCCTTAACCATAACCCCTAACCCTTGACTCCAGCCCCAACAGTATTGTGTCCATCAGGTGGGGCTATCAAACCACATCTTACCAAGGCAGGATACCTCATGCTTATTTCTTTCTTCGGCCACACTAGTGAACGAGCGCCACACCCAGTTAGCTTCTTTTCACCTAACCTGAGCTATGCGTGTCTTTACCTACCGAAAATTCCATTATGCCAGTTCATCCAGGAGTGGGGGATTAGGTAACTAGTACTGCCCAAAGTGATACAGCACACCAAAAGAAGAAAAGGCGTTTACCGGGAGGGGTTTATTAGAGGTCTGACTTTTCAAGTAGTTGCTTCATCTACCCATCTTCAGAGACTGGGAAGTCATGCACACAGCTCTCCTTATGTGGCGCACTTTGGTTGGTGCGTGGCCGACCAATTCCGCCTGTGCGTCTGCATCCGACCCGCATGTCACCGTGACCTGAATCGTCCTCGTCGGCCGCGGTGATGACTGACGGCCCCGATTGTCCCGCGCCGTGACTGTCCCCCGCTAAGAAGGTTCGTAAAGTCAGATAGGGGAGGCAAATTGATGTGGCGATTAGCAGAGCAGTCTTTGGACATCCCGGCTTCTTGCACCTACCCTGTTGTATGATCATCGCCCCGGCCCACAACCTCAACGGCGTAAGTGTCCCATTTGCCCGACATGGGTTGCTACCTCCGACTTTGGACTCAACCTTCGCACGGCCAACTTATGCTGGTGCATTCGCGTTTGCAGCGGTCGGCCGGTTTCCCCAACGTAGTTGCACATCCTGCAGCTGCACTGAAGTCGGTAGACAACGGCAGACATCTGCTTAGGGATCGGGTCTTTTGGCCACATCACTTGCCGGCAGGTTGTTGAGTCGGGCCTGTGGGCAACGCCAAATCCCAGCGGTGCGAGAGACCTAGCCACGGCCTCGGAGACTTCTTTTATGTACGGGATGCTCCACCATGATTTTGATTAACTGTGCTCTTCATTCCGCTTCCTTGGTTGCCTTCGGCTCCGTTCAACAAGTGCTCGTGGATAGCCGTTCAGTCTGAAGAGTTCTTGGTAGAGCTTAATCTCGTCCAGTTTGGCGGCTGGCGTGCCGTAATGTGTCTCCACCCGTAGGTATAGCATGCATACACAGCCTCGTTGGTGTTGCAGCGGGTGGGTGCTGTTGTAACTGAACATTTGCAGCGTATTCATCGGTTTTCTGTAGACTGACGTCGCCAGTTTGATCATACAAAAGGCAGCTGAAGGAGACCTGAACGTCTACCGACTGCTCCGTCAATCACCGCATCAATTTACCTCCCCCTATCTGACTTTACGAACCTTCTTAAGGGGGAACAGTCACGCCGCGAGGGGATCAGGGCCGTCAAATGTCTCCGCGGCCGACGCGGGCGGGGTCGTATCAGGTCACGGTGACATGCGGATCGGATGCAGCCACACAGGCGGCGTTGGCGGGCCACGCATAAAGTGCGCCACATAAGGGGAGCTGTGCGCATGACTTCCCAGTCTTTGAAGATGGATAGACGAAGCAATTACTCGAAACGTCAGACCTTTAATAACCTCTCCCCTCCATGAACGCCTCCTCTTTTCTGATGTGCCACCCTGGAATCGCATTTTCACCACGATTGATGACACAGCATACTTTCGTTAAATGGCCAAACGTACCATTTGCTGGAGGTTGCATGCCGCTATGGTTACTGTGATTACCACGTCGCCTTCTTCTGGCATGCCAACAAGCGAAAAACTCTAACCACCACGACCCCGAGACCAGGTCCCGAGGAGGACGCCACTGGCAGGAGTACTGCATTCTGTACAGAACGAAGGAAGGATATCTTGGAGGAAATTGACAGACCGACGATAGGTGCATATCCGGTGCCGTCAGGGTAGACGTCCTAGTTTCTTGAGTTTGGGCATGCCCGCGTCATCCTTGGAGTTGATTGACTCGTATCTCTGATGGGTTCGAGCGTGAATCAGAGACGTCAGGCAAATAAAGCTCTTGTTCGAGCGATCACTTGTACTTCTTATATGGCCCACTTTGTTTAGCTCCGATTGGCCGAATACCGTGGAGCCTTACGGTTTCAGGGTTTGACCGTACACAAAGAGAGCATCATACCGACCTCCAGAATGTCAGACGAACTACCGTTACTGGTATCAACTTGCAGGTTGGCGCCAGACGCATTGTTTCAGCGCTATAAGCAGTGAGGTGGCATCTGAGGCGATCCTGGGAAACGTTTTTTTGAAATGGCACCCAAGTCCAATCTCAGACGACATGATTGCCAGCCTAACAGGGAACTATGCCACACAAATCAACGTTCTTCTTTCTCACAGAGGGTCATTCGCCAATGTAACTCTTTGCCGGCGTATGTTGTTAATTCCCCTACTGTGAGTGTTTTCAAGAGACAACTGGATACCCACCTGCTGAAAGGTAACCCGAACTGCCAAAGCCTAATCGAACGGATTACTGAAATGACTATAAATATACTGCTAACATGATTTCAACAGATCCCTCGTGTGCGTCAAGCCTGACCCATATGAAAATTTTCAAAGTCCGAATGCGGTGAACCAAGTTTTTCGCAACAATTTCGCGAATACCATACCCTTTACGCATTTATGTGCCATTATTAGAATTATGAATTCCCCTTACTAAAACTGCAAGCAAAATTTTTGCAATTTAACTATATTCCCTCACATCTCTACCGTCAAAATGGAGTCTTCAGGGCTTCTGTCGTTTACTCCAAATATGCTGACTGGTTTGGTTTTGCAACTATACTCGGGCCGCAGTATTTCGCAATTCGAAACACATCAATGGCGGCTCGATCCCGTAGCAAAACGCCTTCCTGGCGTGTGAGGGCATTATTTCTAGTAGTCTGTCTTATATTCCTCAGCAGTCCGCTGCGTAGGACAGCAAACGAACAGGAACGGCAGAGAGGGGACAGTTTTTCTGAAACAGCCTCCTTAAGTACACCATTTTCACAGTTCTTTCCAGTGCGCTGTACTTAAGGTTCGTGGTGCTGTCTAACTGGCGCGTTCTGATTGGTCGACCACTGAACACCAATAGACCTCTCGCTGATTTCCCGCGCCAGCGGCGCGCTACTTGCTGACTGGTGCACGCCTAGGCGAGAGGGACTGCTGTGCGCCGTGGTGTTCCCCGCCCCCCCCCCCCCCCCCCCCTCGGGCAAGAATGGCATCTCGACTTGCGGACCCCACAACAGTCTTCATTGACATATCCTCTGTTAGATGAGAAAAGGATGGCCCTCCTCAACCTCTTTATCTATTGTCTTATCCCGTCTCTACTGCCCGCCATTCAGGCTCTGATCTTATTTTGCAGAAATATGGTTGGGCCTCTACACTGCAGACGGTCGGCAGGCGTGCACACGAGTACTGGACTTTTCCGCCGAATTTGGTTTCCTCTCGAGCGCACCGCGCTGCCCTCCCTCATTGACTGCCGTGGACTCTGCAGTGGCCAGCTTTCAGATGCCCATAACTTTTTCCTCCACAATGGAGGGCGCTGAAGTGGACTGCATTTTGATTGGCGGCATGGAGGGCTGTCTGGTGTGGTTGAACAGCTGGACTCTGGACACCATCTCCGTCATGAGGGTGAGTTGTGTCCTGGACCCTTCCTGCAACTACTTCAGTCGGTTCTGTTCTCGCTTGGTCTCCTGACAGCATTCGGCACTCTCGATTCATTTAATAAGTCATGTCCGGCAAAAGTGCGCTTTCGATTGTCCATAATCGGGGCTGTACAGTAATATGTGAACAGAATAACAAAAGTTAAACAGCCAATAAGTCAGTATTGGGGGGGAGAGGATTGAGGGGCGTTCAGAGGTCAGGTTCTAGTTCTGGGGAGGGGAAGGTGTCTGACAAGTAGCTGTCCCTGGTTCACCGCTGCAACGCGACGTGGTGGGTTTGAACACATATGCCGAGTTTGTCTTTGCCCAGGTGGGGGGGGGGCTTAGCGCTTGTACAAACGTTCTATGCGCGCACATGGTTGGGTTGACTAATCGTGTGTTCACTGTCTCGGCCGTCGCAAGTGTCCGCTGACGGAGGAACTTGGAGTGTCCCGCTGGCACTTTATAGATGACTCGGAATGCTTGGTTGACGTCTACTCAGTGGCCGCTGTTATGCAAGTGAACCACACACTCTGATCTAGCCATCCAGGATGGTGCTCTCGCATCCCCTGACCGTTGAACGCCCCTCAACTCTCTCTCTCTCTCTCGCCCAATACTGACTTTTATTGGCTGTTTATCTTCTGCCCTCCCTGATGAGAAAAAATCGAACGCGTACGTTTGCCGGACATGACTTGTTAGATGTTTACATGGGTATCATCGCTGAACTTCCGATTCAATCGGCCCTATGTTGCAGTATAACCACTTCTCAGTCATTCAGCGCTGGCTACGCACGTCATAGATCGCGATGCGATATAGACTCTCGAGGTCACTACTCGTTCACGTAGCAGGGAAATACTAGTCAGATCGAGTGTGGCCAGGCGTTGAGACACTCGCAGATAAATATGAGTAGTTTTTACCTATTTGTCTCAGTAGCAGTTAATGCGAATGCCGGTCAGGCCATAGTTGGCAAGCGGTGGAGTAAGTAGAGGCCGCTATTTTCAGTTGGCCATCCCGACGTTCTTGTACTTAGTGCGGCTGCGATCATGCCTGATCTGGCCGGCCTCGATGATATCGCATACTGTACCTCTCCACGCGTGATGATCCACGGCAGTAGATCTGGGCAGTTCAATCCATTCTCATTGCCAACGACGGAGACCGAATACCGAGGTTCAAGAACCCCCTCCATGTCTTGACGGACTGTGTCCAGCCGGTTCTTGAGTTGACCCTCTCCTCGACGCCTCCAATGGGGCAATGATGCTGGATCGAGGGCATTAACACTGAGGTCCTGAGGTGGACGACGAAGAACACGCCCAAACCACCTCAGTCGTCTCTCTTGGATGGCCTCAGTTATCCTTGCGATGTTGTCGCGGACTGTTTCATCCAAGACGAAGCCGGTGTACATCACTCGAAGGATGGCCCTCAAACAGTGGTGGTGGTAGTATACCTCCAGTTTTCGCTCGCCCTCCACGCGCAGCTCCGCATTCACAACCATAGAAAAGAACAGACCGGACAGATGCACGGTACACGCGAATCTTTGCGGCGATGGAGAGGTCGCGTCGGATCCATAGGCATTTTCTTAGGCTTGAAAAAACTCAGCAGACAGCATCGATTCGGGGGACAATGTCGTCCTTACGCTGTCCATTAGGCAGCAGCCTCATCCCGAGGTATTTAAAACTGTCTACTTCATCAAGTTGACGGCCATCTATCCCGAGAGGTGCCTTCTCCTGGTCAGGGATGCAGCTTGAAAACACTGTAGTCTTCCCACCGGTTATGAACAAACCGAGCGATTGAGCGACCTCGCTCACCCGTGACACTACGGACTGCATATCACCAAAACTTGGAGCTAGTAAGGCATACTGGAGATCAGTCAGTCGATTTTCCGGTGCAAACTGAACACCGTCACCTTCGCGTATGGCCCTCTCGAGATTCCAGTCAATAGCGTAGTTGAACACAATGGGTGATAGAATACAACCCTGTTGAATACCAAACGGTTTGGAAGGAATGTTGTGGACCAGAACTCTCGCAGTGGTTGAGCGATAATAGGCCTTGATCGTTGGCGGCACACCATCACCCGCCGCAGGGACTCACGACGGACAGAATCGAACGAGACGACAAAGTTAACAATGCAGACAGCCGTCGGCTGCCGGTAGCTATGGCGAACTTCGGGAGTGCGTCACCGCCAGTCTGGAGCAAGCCTTCATGCTGGCGCGCCCATCGGAATCGAATAGTCAGTGGGCGTCGTCGACTAAGTGTGTTCGCTACGGAGGCGACGATCGATGATCAGTCCTGACCGAAGGGTACCTTATTAACGATTATCTGTCGCATTTGCGTTGACATTACGACTGTCTCAATGCAGTCTGTAGATGCGGTCTTTGCCTCTAAAACCTGGGTCAGGCGGCCGATATAGTCGGATTTTACCTGTGCCTCTTTGCCAAAGGGCAGTAATCCTCGTCTAAAGATCTAGATGGCGAATTTGCATAGAGGGATT